GGGGGGGGGTATGAGCGGCGCAGCTGCGTATATTCGTCCGTTATCGAATTGGCGACGATTTAATTTTCTTGATTATTCGCAGGATTATCGAAGCTTGTTCCGACCTTCGCCACTATGGGGACCGACTACAGAACGGAATGCGCCGGATAACGACAGCGTCAGCACGGCGGTGGTTAATCCGGCATACGATGATTCTTTAGATAAATTTTAGACTCCACTTTGGACATATCCGATCCAAGGAAGGCATTCGGCCGATCAGGCGCAAGGATATACTCGCATGTGGTTTTAATGTCTTCTTGAAACTAATGACACACACACCATAATAGAGTGCGGGTGTGCGCGTATGAATTGAGTTAAAAAAATATTCTTACGTCATTGTTGTCTTGATCTGTGCGTTGCGTGCGTTTGTATGACAATTGTTGAATATAATATTGACTAGAATTATTGTAATTAAATTAGAATTATTGTAATTAAACGCTCATTAAACGCTCATTAAATGTTATTATAATTATACGATGACTAATTATTGCAATTACAGCCTTCATTATTAAATGATACTGACAGCTAACACGTAAAGTTTGTAAAGTTTGCAGAAAAATATCGGTTTTTGAGCCGGCGGAGTTTTCAAGCGGGGCATACCCTAAGGAGAACTTTTTCGAAGCATATCGGTGCCATACGTCATGCATTTGTGATGATGGCAGTGGAATTTCGTAATTATACAAATAGAAATGAGAATACAAATCGGTGGAGTATATTCTGTCGCGAATTACAGTCCAGATTGACTTCGTGTTTGAAGATTAATTGCGGGGAAAATTCGCGCGTAGAACTTCGCGGCAGAGGTACAATCGGCGACAGTCGAAGCTCGAGTCTACGGAGTAGCGTCGAGGAAAACGCGGGGACTATCGCCCGTTGTTCTGCCCCATCTTTCCCGCTAATTAATGCCGGCGAACATGGTTGTTACTCGGAATACCATGTCTCTGCACGTTGTAATATCGCGTGGGTCGGTCGCCTGTATGCACACCGCGCCTTATAGGTCCGCGAGCGGACGCTTTGAGTACGCACGTCCCTAATGGGAATTACAAGCGGTTGGCATCGTGTCGTGCCGTGTTGTGCGTGGCCGATCAATGTCTGAGACTCGACTTCACAAGAAATTGCAAGGAATTCAAGAAATTGCAATATATCTGTTTCCCAATAAAGGCACTCACTCAAATTCGGATTTCTGCCCCAAAAAGGCACTATCTGCTTTTGATGAAAACATGTAAATTTTACTACTAAAGTAGAGAGAGAGAGAGAAAGAGAGAGAGAGAGAGAGAGAGAGAGAGAGAGAGAGAGAAATGGGGAGAAAGAAAGAGAGTGAGAGAGAGAACGAGATAGAAAGAAAGAGGGGCCCACGAAACTCGTCTATGATACCGACATACCATTAAAAAGACACGAGTAATCTATTGTATTTATAAAGTAACGATCTATAATGACATTTGAAGCATTGTGTGTTGTGATAACGGAAAAAAAAATTAATTATACACCGAGTAATAATACTAACTCTCGATAATCTTTGTGCCGGAGCGGCAGGCGCTTTAACGAGGAAATGATTATTAAAATGAGTCGCGCGAAAAAGGGATCGGGTGTCCTCGCGATATCTGATCCGCGCCTCTCTCTCGCGTTGCGCGAGTAGAAGTTGTTCGTAATTAACGCGCTCGACTTTTCCGAATGGCTGTTCTCATTTTATTTCGATCACCGATGCTCCTTCAGCACAGAATATTATGATGCAGCCATCTCAGCTAGACTCTCTAATTAACGCCTTAAACGTAATTCGTATAATGTAGTTTGTATCCTTTCATTTCGAGAGACGAGAGAGATTTTTTCGCTATACGTTATCCGCTCTCATCTCTTTTTCGTTTTCGTGCCGCGTAGAGAGCCACTTAGGTCGTCTTGCAAAAATCGAGAAAAGAACAAAAAAAAGAAAGAAGAGAACAAAGAGACGAGATCATTTAATTTCAATAACTTGTTTTAAATGATTCCTCCCCCCCAAAAAAAAGGAATATGTATATTACGTTTCACGTATGTTTTAGATATGCACGATGCCTGGACATCGTGCATTTCGTGTTTCTCTTATTATTTTTAACTTGCTGTAGCCTTGTACGAGATATAGAGTTGCGAATTTTCATAGTGATCCGGACATAAGAGTAATAATAACGATAAATAACCAACCTGAGTTGCTATATGTACGCTCGACGTTTTAAATTTTAAGTTTTTCCTTACCGTAGTTTTGCTTAATATACGTAAAGTACGAGAATATACTAAAAAAATAAAAAATAAAAAAATACGATAGCGAACGCAAATATAATCTAATAAAGTAAAAAGAACAAAAAAAAA